ATCATAGTCTGTACCTTCTCTTTGCAAGAATCCCTTCACAACTAGTCGAGCCTTATACTTGACAATTTTGCCTTTTGGATTTTCCTTAACTTTATAGACACATCTCACTCTGATTGGCTTTTTTCGTTCCGGTAGATCGGCCAGCTCCCAAGTATTGTTTTTCTCAATCGATTCCAGCTCCTCTTTCATCACACACACCGACTTTAGATTTCTTAATGCCTCCTTCGTGCTCACAGGCTCATATTCGGCCATAAGCGCAAAGTGAATAAGATTACCATTATTGTTGATCTTATTATCATGGAATACTTCATAATCTCTGAGCCTTTGAGGTAGACCTTTGTGCCTTGTTGGTCGTCTAATAGATTCACCGTTTTTAATCTTAACCGACTACAGCACATGACTTGCGGAATCTAGATTTTCTGCATTTTCTTCAAGAAATCGATTACGGGAATTGGGGGAAACAATTTCCTCTTCTCAAATTCCAGTTCCAGCAGCATCTGTATGTAAAAATCACAAAGGAAATCGATTTCCCTCATCTAGGAAATTGATTTTCGCAACTGATATGCCCTTTTTTATGCTATCAAACAGCCTTATCTCATCCACTTCCATATATTGACTTATTACAATCTTCTTAATTTTCACATCAAACAACTTGTAACCTCTGGTAGGATGATAACCAACAAGTAACATCATCTCTCCTTTGTCATCCAACTTCTTTCGGAGCTGACCCGAAACATGTCAAAATGCTACCGAACCGAAAACTTTCAAATGACTCAAACTTGGTTTAAGACTAGACCATACCTCTTTTAGAGTCACCTTGTCCAACTTCTTTATAGGGCACCTATTCAACAAATAGGCAGCTGTAGAAACGGCTTCTCTCCATAGTTCATGCGATAAGTTTTTTTCCCTTCAACATGCTATAAACCATATTCATTACCGAACGATTTTTTCTCTCGACAACACCATTTTATTGAGACGTATAAGGTGGACCAACCTCGTGCACTATACCCTCATCATCATAATAATTCACAAACTCATTCAAGCACTACTATGAAAAAGACATTTAACAACGGTTGGAAAAGACATATAATCACGCGGGTCCACGCGTATTATGTACCGTGTTGTTTTGAATGTGTTACTTACATTTACGGTCCTAGAACCGTTGTAGTATACTAGAAAGTTCGCGTGATATCACAATGGTTAGTTAACTTAATCGTTGTTGTATGTCTTTTAATAAAATAAAAAAAATAGCAGTAGAACAAAAATAGTTGTAAGAACGACAAGAACAACAACATGAAAAACAAGAACAACATGAACAACAACAAGAAAACAACAAGAACACCATGAACAACAAGAATAACATGAACAACAACAAGGACAAGAAGAACAAGAAGAACAACAACAGGAACAACAACATGAACAACAAAAACAAGAAGAACAACAACAAGAACTACAACATAAAGAAGAAGAAGAAGAAGAAGGAGAAGAAGAAGAAGAACAATAACAACAATAACATACAACAACAACCATAACAAGAACAACAATAATAAGAACAAGAGAAACAAGAACAACAACAAGAATAAATAAAAAAAGAACAATAAGAACAACAACTAACCTTGCTAACTTAAATCTATATTTTCCTTGTCTTATTGAAGATGGAGAATAGATGACAGAATTTTGAAATTTATAAATTAAAGAAATGATGCTTTTGTGTTTTACTTATGGAAGAAATGATATTTTGTATCTTGGTTTAGTGGAGAAATAGAGTGTCGTAAATGAAAGATGGTGTTTGATGGTAGAAGATGAAGTTCGTCAAAGTTGGAAGTTTGTCTAAATTTTAGGTTTCACACGGACTGCTAACTATGGTGTCCTGAGCGTAGATAGTCACTGAATGGACGATTGGGATTTATTTAAGAATGGTGAAGAAACTCAACAAATATGCTATATACAACAACAATTGTATTAAATAACCGTTTTTATATATATTTTAATAAAATATAAAAAATGCAGCACTAGGAAAGCAACAACAACAAGATTCAAACTCATGACCATGCATGCTACATACAACAATGGTTGTATTAAATAACTATTATTGTATATCATTTAGTAAAATATAAAAAATACAGCAGTAGAACAAAAATAATATCAAGATTTAAACTCATTACCATGCACAACTTTTTACCACAGTTGAAACTTCCAACCGTGATGAAAAGTGGTGACTTGAGTGTTGTTGTTTGTGCATTTTGTAGTAGTGGAGGTATACTCACCTCCACCATCCGTTTTGAGAATTTTGATTTTGTGACCACTTTTCCACTCAACCATGGACTTGAATATGTTAAACATATTCAATACCTCATCCCTCCTCTTGATTAGATATGTCCACAACTTCTTACTAAAATCGCCGATAAATGTGACAAAATACATGTTTCCACCATTCAAGTCGACTTGCATTGGACCAAACACGTCGGAGTACACCACCTCAAGGGGATGTTTGGTCCTATGACATGTATACTTGTTGAATCTATTCTTGTGTTGCTTCCATTGAGCACACTCTTCACAAATCTCAGCTGGAACATTGATCTTAGACAGCCCGATCACCATACCATTCCTTTGTACCGCGTCGTGATCTCGAAAATTGAGATGTCCAAGACAGTAATGCCACAACCACTCATCACGACTTGCCACTGCAGCAAGGCACCTATGTTTCATCACTTTCAACTCTATCTTAAAAGTTTGATTGGCAGCCATGAGTTCTCTAAGGACTAAAACTTTGTTTCGGTCCAAAAGACGCAAAATCTTATTTTCCATGAGAATTATGTAATTCTTCTCACGCAATTGGCCAATACTCAAGAAATTACACTTAATTTTAGGAATGTATAACACATCTTTGAGCAACCTTATCCTCATCACTTTGATTTTCTCTCGATTTTGCATTATATTCCTTTGCAAAATGACCAAGCTTATGACAATTGTAACACTTCACACCACTCTTGTCAAACATTTTGGTGTAGTTGTATTGACCACTACCTTTGAAGCTGCTCTCACCTCTTTGCATCATTGAAGCGTTTGAATTTTGTGAATCTTTTCCACAAAAATTCTGGAAATTTGTCTTCCCTTTTTAAGACCATTTTTCTTTCGATCTCTTACTCTTCTTATTGAATCGTACTTGCAACGTAATCTCTACTTTGGCTTTGTTATTTCCTCTTTCATCCATCATTTGTTCACAAGCATCTAGTGAACTTTAAAGCTCCTCCTTGCTCAATGTAGGAAGGTCCTTTGATTCTTCGATTGCAACCACAATTTTGTCGAATCTTGACGTTAAAGAACGTAAGATCTTTGCCACAAAATTATGCTCCGACACGATTTCACCGCAAGATTTCATTTGCTTCACCAAACGCGTTATACAAGTAATATAATCATTGATCGACTCCTTCTCTTCCATTTGCACCAACTCAAACTGCCTCTTGTGAGTTTTTAACCTCACAACCTTTTCTTTATTAGCCTCTTCATGAGTTTTCTTCAAGATCTCCCATGCTTGCTTCACCGGTCCGCAATCAGAACCTTTTCGAAGTTGTCATTGTCGATGCAAGAATGTATCAAGAAAGGTGTCTTGTAATCTTTCTTCTTCTCTTCATTGAATGTTGTCTGTTGAGCAGTTGTAGCTTCTTCCCCAAGTGGTGTAACACCATCGTTAACCACTTTAAGAACGTCTTGATATCCAAACAAAATTTTCATTTGTTTGCAATATTTGTCATAGTTCTTGGAGTCAATAATTGGAAGATTGGTAGAGATTCAATCATTGGAAATGGTAGACATGTTTGCAACGGATTAATGGATCAAAATCTAGGCTCTTGATGGCAAATGTTGGAACATACATAAGAAAAATTGGTGAAAAGTGGTTAATTGGAGAAGATGAAGTTAGAGAGAATTTGGAGATTATGAGAGAGAGAGAGAGGGGGGGGGGGGGGGGAGTAATTGAGGAGAAACGTTTATTATGGTATTAACTATTAATCAAAACATTATAGGAGGTATTTATAAGCAACACTAAAAACAAGCTGAAATCAAAAATAGACCTAAAAAACAAAAAAAGATTAAAAATTCCACTCAGAAAATCGATTTCCATGTATGGGAAATCAATTTCCCCTTCGAATCTTCTAAAAAAATAGAAACTCAATAGAAAACTGGAAAGTCTAAAACCAGTTGTGAAAATCGATTTCCATATTTGAGGAAATCGATATCCTCTTTGCAAAATCACTTTTTCAGCTTCCAGATTAGCTTATTTGATAAGCTATTTTCAACGAAACGCTTCCTAAAACTTCCACAATGCATTTGAATTATTTTAAACTTCTAATAATTTGATCGTTTTTAATTAATAAGTTAATTTATTATTTGTTTTTTTTAATAAAGTTAAAAATAATTATATTACTTTCAAGTTAATATAAAAATTATATATAAGATGTTTGTGATTACAGTGTTAACTACACTCAGTGTTTTTTAATTTCATCGACATAAAAACAAAAATAAATATAATACATTAATCATAATTTTTCCACATGTTAATAATTTAATCTTATTTGTATTTTTTAGAAATGAGACGCTAAAGTTCTTAGCACATTGAATCTTATATGACAATTCATTTTGTGTCATTTATGTAAATTTACCACATATACTATTGTGGTGAAGCTATTTCACTAGTGAAGAATGAAATATTTCAGCATTGAAGAAGAAAACAACAAGAAATAAAAAAGAAGTGAGAAGAATGATAGTTTTGTTGTATTACATATATGATAGCCTTATCCATATATAGTGTGTTGCTATCACTAAACAACCAATTAAAAAGTTGAAACTAACTAACTAAAAATAGCAATATCTACATAGTTACATTAAAACTATCCCATTTTCCTATAGTCGTACACTGCCTATAAATACTAATGCACATTGAGGTGAAACTTGACACCAGCAACTTAGATTTTGAACTCGATTTAATAAGGAGTGGGAAGATGAGGAAAGAAGTAGAGAAAGTTGACTTTGAAAAAGTGATTGAAGAATTTGAGATGATAACAAAAGATGCTGAGAATGTTCAAAAGGAAACACTGAGAAAGATTTTGGAAGAAAATGCATCAACTGAATATTTGCAAAATTTAGGACTTAATGGAAGAACCGACCCCGAAAGTTTCAAGGCTTGTGTTCCATTGGTGACATACAAAGATTTAGAGCCTTATATCCAAAGAATGGTTGATGGTGATGTTTCTCCTATTCTCACTAGAAAACCAATCACAGTTGTATCCGTAAGGTATGAGACACACTTTTTTTATTTTTTAATCTTTCATTTGAATTTGAAAAGGTTACAATTTTTTTTATTTTAATATGTTTTTGCAGTTCCGGCACTAGTCAAGGGAATCGGAAATTTATTCCATGGAATGATGAAATGTTTAAAACTACAATGCAAATATATCAAACCTCTTATGCTTTTAGGAACAGGTATTATTGTTGTACTTGTTAGTATCAAATTGTTGTCGGACACTAGACACTAGGCACTAGTTTGAATTTACAAAACCTAACAAACTTTAATTTTATAGAGATTTTCCTATCCAAGATGGAAAGGATATGAACTTTATCTATGGCAACAACGCACCACCAAAAAAAGGGGGCATGACACTAGGATCAGCCACATCAAATGTGTATGGAAATCCAGGATACAAGAAAGCAATGCAAGCAATGAAATCTCCAAGCTGCAGTCCAGATGATGTAATTTTCAGTCCTGATTTTCAGCAATCACTCTACTGCCACATCTTATGTGGACTAGTTTTCAGAGAAGAAGTTCAATCAATTTCATCAACATTTGCACACAGTATTATCTATGCTTTCAGAGCATTTGAAAAAGATTGGGAAGAACTTGTTAATGATATCAAAAAAGGCGTTCTTAGCAACAAAATCACTGTTCCATCCATTAGAATCGCTATGTCGAAATTGCTGAAACCAAATCCTGAACTAGCTAACTTGATCCACAAGAAATGCACAGGATTAGGCAACTGGTATGGATTGATACCAGAGCTTTTTCCTAATGTTAAGTATATTCAAGGAATCATGACAGGTGCAATGGAGCCTTATTTGAAAAAGTTGAGACACTATGCTGGAGAAGTTCCTTTATTGACTTCTGAGTATGGTTCTTCTGAAGGATGGATTGGTTCAAACGTGAATCCTAAAGCAGCTCCTGAATTTGCTACTTATGTTGTTCTTCCTCAAATTGCATACTTTGAATTCATTCCATTGGCACAACTTGATGGAAATCAAGTAGAACTTAAGGCAATTGGCTTAACTGATGTGAAGATTGGTGAGGAGTATGAGATTGTTTTCACCAATCCTGCAGGTATCAAATTCTATGACATGATGTTGATTTAACTCTACATGTATTCATTATAGTTAATCTTGGATGATATGCAGGTTTATACAGGTATAGGCTAGGAGATGTAGTAAAGGTTATGAGGTTCCATAACTCAACTCCAGAAATCAAGTATATGCGCAGGAGTGGTCTTTTGCTTACAATAACCACTGACAAGCATAGTGAGACTGATTTACAATTGTCAGTAGAAAATGCATCCAAGTTTTTAGCTGAGGAGGAAATAGAGGTGATTGACTACACTAGCTACATAGATTTATCCACAGAACCAGGACACTATGTTATCTTCTGGGAAATTAGTGGTGAAACAAGTGATCAACTGCTTGCTGAGTGTTGCAATTGTTTGGACAAGTCTTTTATTGATCCAGCTTATATGTTTTATAGAAATTGCAAAGGTATTGGTGCTCTTGAACTCCGAGTTGTTGGAAAAGGAACATTCCAGAAGATTCTTGAGAGCCAAGTTCAAAGAGGTGTACCTGTGAGTCAGTTCAAGACACCTAGGTGTGTTGGTCCTACAAACATCACAATGTTGCAAATTTTGTTGGAAAATGTTGTCAACAGATATGTTAGTACTGCTTACAATTGATTCTCTCTCATCTCTTTTTTGATATTTTATGTAATTTTTCTTTAATCAAAATGCTTAAAATCAACCAAGGCACCATACCTTTGATGCCATAAAGGCAGCTAATCCTCATCCATTGGTTGATAAGAGAATTAAGAACGGAAAGATCATACAAATATGTACCCTTTATGTCCATGCAATATAAGTATAAATAAAATTGAAGAAATTAAAATCATTTTTAATTTTCTTTTAATCGTAATATATATTGAGTAGCGAACTTTGATTGGACTCAAGAAGAGCATGACCTAAACCAGTCAGCATAAAAATTGTCACAAGATGGTTGGTATAAGTCATAGAAGGCAATAATTTTATTAGAACTTGATACTTTTAATAAATTATTTATTAATAATAATAAGTCATTTCTTTATTATATTTGTTTTTAAAAATTAATAAAGTTCCTAGAATAACTAATCTTTTTGATGAAGTATTAAGTACAATTTGATTGAGAGATCTCATTAAACATATTTTTAAAGTACTCTTAGTCAAGTTATATTGTGAAGTGGAATAACATTGAATAATTAAGACTATTATATGGATAAACTAATGATTAAATCTCAAGGATCATAGATAAAGAGTTATTAAGTCTTCACATAGATATGCATATTACGAGTAATATTTATACTGGATTGATCCACCATGAGAATACTGCATAGAATATTATGTAAATGTCATATTTATTCTCAAGCTGGTAGTGGTATATACCACCCTTAGACCTGAAACCTCTATTAACCTTAGATGTGAAGTCGAGTACTTTATTGCCTATCAAATATTATCCGTAACAAGAAGACTTAAAGATGGTTGATGGGTACTCCACAAATAATGTCGAGGAACATGAGTGTCCTAAATGAATTTTGTCCATCTTGCGTAATAGGATAAACATTAAGAGTCCAATATTGAACTGGAAAAGAGTGACATATTATTTATCTTGTGTTCAATATAGACACGAAGACATAAGGGTAATAACATACATAAACCTTATCACTGAAAAGTTTTGTCAAATCATATAAATTTTTTGTGACTTGGATAGCAGTGATGTGTTGCTAGACATTGTTCATTATTTACTATATTAAATGTGTGATTTGATATAATTGTCAACAATACGAGAATCTACAGGGTCTAACGCATAAGAAAAAAATTATGGGAGAAAATAAATATGTGATGCTTATTCGATTGTACTGTATTACAATGCACCAGCGTTAATTAGAAAAATGCGATACATTGTAAGATACAATATACTTAAGTGAAATATGGAACACCATAAAGTAAAATATACTTAAGTAAAATAAGGAACACTGTAAGGTACAACGTACTTAAGTAAAATACGAAACATCATAAGTGTTCTAGATTGGCCCGATAGCTAGAATGAGCCCAGTCTAACCCTTTCTTTTGGTAAGGCCCGCACGTCCATGGCCCGAACCACCCCGCTATCCGTCGGGTAATATCAATCCTTTGCCCTCCCTAGCCGGCACTGACCTAAGGTAATTGACGAGCACCTCTCAGTCTGCCTGACATAAAGTCATGCAGGCCCCCAGGAACCGACCAGAGAGATGCCCATAACTCGCTTCCTCCTCAGAACCAACAACTAGTTACGGGCACATTTGTCTGCTTTGACCAAGTCCTGGCAGTTACCTGATTTTGCAAACCCACATATCTAGGCGCAAAAACAGGAACCAATGGCCATGTGCCAGAGGAATTATATAAATCCTCACACCTGTGAGGGCCAAGTATCGAATATTCATTATTCACCACCAATACCTTAATACTTTTTTTGTATCTCCTTGTTCCCACTCTTACTTGATCGTCAGAGTGCCTTGCAGGTACAACCCCCTTTTTTCCTCCTCAACACCAGAACTCGACTACAAATCATCATCCGGCCACCTTGCAGGTTCTGATCAACCAGTAAGATCAGTGGCGCCATCTGTGGGAAGCTGCTCTCCCCATCTTTCTTTCCTCGAAACTCAAAGATCAAAGCAATTTTTCAAGATTCCTTTCACTAATCATGGTCAACCATGATGATCTCCATCTACTCGGAAAGGCTATTATTTCCCCTACTCACAAAACCTAAGGAAGTCAAGAACATCCTCACCTCTAGGACAACCTGAGTTTCCGAGATAGATAGACTGCGTCTCTAGATTCAATTGACGCCCGACGCAGCAACAACCAACTCTTGGATAAAGGACACCCCAAGAATCCCACTGAGGAACTGCTAGAGATCCTGAAACTAGTTCTCATTCCTCTCAGCACCGACTCCTCCATTGCAGCGTTGCTCGCTGCCATCAATTAGACCAACGCCCTCATCCTGCAGCAAAATCAAAGGATGGGAGCCTGGTAGAACAAGTGATCAAGGTCTCCTCCTCGGAGATCCCGACGAAGAAACTCCTCAAGTATATCGCCACCCAGGCGTGGCCTTCCACCAAGAAAGGAGAAGCGCGATGTTTCCTTCTTCAAGAAATGCAACTTCACACCTCCTACGAAAGATCAAGACTCCCCTTCGTCCAAGAAGAGGAAATACGACCGTCAAATCGACTGCGCTCGATTACCTTCGTCTGAAACAAGACAGAAGCGGAGGAGTCCCTCCCCTCGATGAGACTACGATGATTGACGTGGTAGAAATTATCGCTCCCCTTCTCCGTCCCCTGCAGATAGTGAAGACGACGAGCCCCGTGGCCCGCTATCAAGGGAAATTGCAGAAGCCCCACTCCTCGTCGACCTGAAGAAGCCACCTCCGTTGGGAACCTACGACCAAACAACAGACCTGAACGAGCATATCAAGAACATTGACGCTCTCCTTGACTACTGAGGAGTCAGAGAGGCTATCAAATGCAGATTGTTCCCAACCACTCTCAGGAAGGGAGAAATGTCTTAGTACAAGAGTCTCCCAGACGAATCCATCACTTCCTAGAAGCACCCCAAGAGGATATTTTCGAGACATTTCACCGCTTCTCATTGACACCTAAAGTTGGAGGCTTCACTCGAAGTAATCATCCAGGGCAGAGACAAATCTCTGCGGGCATACATCGAACACTTTAACAAGGAAGCAGTCCAGGTCTCAACGGCCGACAACATGAAGAAATATCTCCTCCAGCACGGGCTCCGTCCCCGCATCGACTTTGCCAAAGCTGTGGGCATTGAGACACTGGCCATACTCGACTCCCTTATCCTCAAGGCCCATACGTACATTCAGTACGAGGAGAAGGAAGCCGCCAACAACGCCAAGGAATCGAGGCATAGAGAGAGTGCCAAGTCCTCGAGGAATGACGAGCCCCCGACATCTCGTCGGGGTGAAAAGAAATGGGGAGACAAGTCCCGGGACTCCAAGGACTACAAGGGGCAAGCTGGTCGTTTCCACGACTACACCACTCTGACTACCTCAAGGGAGCGTATCCTATCTGAATGTGCCAATTCTGAATTTAAGCAGGCCAGGGTGCGCTTCCCCCGACAAACACCATCCAAATTGGGAACCAACAAGTGCAAATATTGCAGGTTCCACAAAAGTTACAGGTATAACACTGAAGATTGAATTCATCTAAAGGATCCAATTGAAATACTGATTCGAGATGGGCACCTCAAGCAATACAAAAAGAAGGAGGGCGCTCATGAAGAAACACCATAAACTAAAAATGTCGAACAAGGAAAGAAGTCCCCCGACACCGACACCATTCCGTTCGCCATGAGCATCTCGTGGCCGAAAGATTTCTACTACCCAGACATGGAGAACATCCCCATGTACTTCTCCTCCCACGGTCCTTAGGAATCTTTTCCCGCAGCCATGGTCATCTCCTGCGGGGATTCAACAGGCATACAATTGGCTCAGTAAAAAGAAGATTCGACCAGCTCATCAAAGCTAACTCGGACATGGACGCCACACTGGATAAATTTTGAGGAGGCTATCATCCCCTCACCTTCTATAGGGAGGAACCGTTGGGCGGAGCCTCGAATTCGACCATCCCACTGCTCATGAGAGCTCCCATGGCGAATTTTGACGTTCAACACATATTGGTCAATCAAGGCAGCTCGGTCGACATCATGTACGCCCATCCGTTCTCCACCTTGCAGCTGAATGAAAGCCATCTGACCCTATACGTAGGATCAGATCTTCAGGGCTCCAATGGGGCCAGCACGAAACCCTAGGGATATGTCGAGCTGATCGTCACCTTCGAGAGAGGGGTAACGGCCAGATCCATCAAGACCCAATTCCTAGTGGTGGGTTTCATGTCTCTCTACCCGTGCATCTTTGGGAGACCCACTCTCACCGAACTCATCGCGGTTCCCTCCACCGTGCATCTCAAAATGAAGTACTACACCGCTGAAGGCTTGGTCGTCACCCTCCACGGGGTCATCTAAGAAGCAAGAAGGTGTTTTGAAGCTTCAGTCAATGGCCTCAGTTCCATCAACATTCAACCTCGGACCAAAACCGGAGCCACACTACCCTCAAACTATGAGGAAGTCAAGCCGCTGTCGAGGGTCGACACCATTGACCTCGAAAACCGCTTCTCCAAGGAAGATTGTGTCGTGCAAAGAAGGAAGGGAAATGAGCCCATGAGATAGAGACAAACTCTTGAGTCACACACGGCCAATCTCAGATGGTGACTTCGAGCTCGTTCGCCTCGTAGTAGATCCCACCAGAGGAGTGAAGATTGGAGCAGACCTCCCCGATTTGGCAAAAAGGCAACTCAAAGCTTGCCTAAGGGAGAATGCTGACCTGTTTTCCTTGAGTGCGGCCGAGATGCCCGGATTAGATCCAGAAATTGCATTCCATCACTTGACTATAGATCCTGCCCTCAAGGTGGTCGCCCAGTGTAGAAGAAAAATAGTTTTCCAAGAAAGCGGAGGCTGTAGAACTAGCTGTAAAAGACCTCCTAGTGGCATATTTTATTTTTGAAGCGCAGTACACAACCTGGCTCTCAAATGTAGTTCTTGTGAAAAAATATAATGGAAAATGGTGCATGTGTATTGATTATACT